AGATATCAGGACACAAATGCTCGTCAAGGACAAGTTTGTTTGAAACTTCATAAATGAACTGCGAAAATAACAAAATTCCACAAAAAAATAAATCGAAAATGACAAGATTGTCGATGGATTTGAATATCACTCGTTACCTCAAACGTCCGGATCGGTCTCTTGTTCCTGGTTGTGACCAGTCTTTCCAGCTCTGGATCATCATCTCCTGCAACATTTGACATCTCACACAAGGAAGCACAGCAAAGTATGAATAACGGTTGCGGAAGTCTCATTTTCAGCGGCATGGTGATGGAAGAGTCTTCACGTTCGGTGCCCCCGTATTGATAAGGCCCCGTCTATTTGTAACTTGCGAAAGTTTGATGGACATCCTTTACATATACGAAATGACGTAGTCGGGCTGTAATGGGAAAAGCACCAAAAAAGCTTTAAATTTATTGCGTTAGTATCAATTTAGCCTTAAACATTTCAATTGAACTAATATAATTCAAACATTTTATATCGGTACCAATTCAGTCCATCCGGCCTAAATGATTGCTGACATGAACGCTGTCTGTTCGGCTAGCACCGACGTGAACAAATTTTTTTATTTTTAGTAATTTTTTTTCTTTTTTTTTTTCCTTCCATGGCCGAGAGCGACCCTTGCTTAGGCGAGGCTAGCCCTCGCCAACCATGGAAGAAGAAAAAGGAAGAAAAAAGACAAAAATTCAAAATTGAAAAACATTATTAAAAAATGTCCATGTCTGCGCTAGCCGTGCCACATAGAATAGTCGGCATCCACGTCAGCAATTTCAGACCTAAATTGGTCGGACGGACTAAATTGGTACTGATGTGAATAAATTTATGACTAAATTGATCCAATCGAAAGGTTTATGACTTAATTGATACTTTTCCCGATTGTTATTTACCATTAAATATGGTCCAATGATTTAACTGCCCCCTTATAATTTACTGGAACTCTCCTAATTTCCTTGCCTCGCGGGTTTAACCCATGTAAAGGAGTTTTATCCCTATGATTAAGACTGTATATTTCTTTCCAAAAGTAAGTTGTATTGATTGAATTTGATTTACAAACGGGGGTACGCACACTATTTGAGAATATAGGGTTGAATTGTAAGGGTATGCTTCATTGAAAGATAACGTGGGCCTCTTTAGATGAACTCAGCGTAACAAAATTCTCGTGTAGAATAAAAGGGTGAAAGCTCATTTGAATTTGATCTCCGGGCAAGCCGGTATAGCACCTGTGCATGGTGCAAACGTGGAAGAATTCGACGGACGAATGGCGAGCATGCATGCTATTACTTAGGAATAAAAAGAGAAAACCCTAGAGATTGTCGACTTCCTATCAATGCCTTTGGCTGAAAAACTCGTTTTCATTTCATGAATAATTTTGTTAATGTGTGTGGTTTCCATGTGTAACTTGACATGAAACGTTAATCTAATGTAATCATGCATTATGTGACCGACTGTCGCAAGATTCTACAGACGAATGGCGAACATGTACCTTTTTCAGGAGATACGAAGGCCAGCGAATATGTGTGGTCTTTCTCTTTTACACGTGTTTAAATTATATCATCATTTATCCCTCGTTTCAATGAATAGCCTCGTCACTAAATTTGGATTGACATCGCGTGGCAATGAATTCTCGTGACTATGTATAGCATGAAAGACCTAACTAACTTCACGGCACCGAAATATGAGAGGGTGAAGGGGCGCTTTAACAATCAGACGAGAGCGGGGAGTGATCGTAAGGATGAGAGGACTGGACAAGGAGCGAATCCCGACATGCTTCTAAGATGGCGAAGGGGACATGACTGAGCCGAATTGGACACTGAAGATAGAGAGAGCGTATAGTGAAACTGGATTCAACTTACAATATGTGCCGTTTGACGTAATAATAACATTTAGTATTAAAACTCCAATATTAAGTGTGCTTAGGTGAGAGCAGAGAGGATGGTCTTTTAGGAAAGTGCATACCTGTATACCAAAGGACAAAACGGAGCCTACCTATACGCCAAAGGACAAAACTGTGAGGCTCAATATGATACGGGTCAAAATAGACAATACCTCGAATGAATTAATCCAGGATGCGATATTAGGTTGTGGTGTAGGACGCGATCTGAATGGGAACCTTCATGATTTGGTTTAAAGAAAGAGACCAGAGATGAAGGTGGGCATTGTTGTTGTTGCGGTTCTCAGAAGGCAACAGAGTGAGATTCAAGTTAAGACATGTTGATGCAGAATGAGTCTTAAAGTTCGTATGGGAATTATGGGCATGGCTATCAATTCCACAGGAGCGAGGTTCCTCGTAACAAATTCAACATACATAAGATGGCCTTGAGGATCATTCCACCTACTAAAGTTTCTCATTCAAAATTCGACACTAGTCCTTATCAAGAGACATTGTTGATTTGAAATGTGCATTTATTGACTTAGATAGTTCGTCAGACAAATCATATACACCAAATTTCGAATTAAAGATATATATTGTAGTTGACTAATATGTCCTGGATGGAGATCATCTATTTCCTTAATACTAATACCATCCATGTCATAGTCCATAAGCATATACATAAGCAATGTGCCATTCTTGTAATATAATTCGCACGATTCATTAAGGAGAAATGACACAAACAATCCCTAAACTTTAACCAAATGTGTAATCTGGTTTCTGAAATTTTAATTTGTTCAATGCAGTCCCTGAACTTTAATCTAATGTTCAATGTGGTCCATAAACTTTTAATTTATTCAATATAATCTCTGTATTTTTTATACATGTTCTATTTAGTCCATGAACTATATGAAAATGTTCAATGGACTACATTGAACAATTTCATATAATTCATGTGCTAAATTGAACATGTACCAAAAGTTCAGAGACCATATTGAATAAATTAAAAGTTCAGGGACCACATTAAATATTAGGCTAAAGTTCAGGGATTGTTTGTGTCATTATCCCATTCATTAAGGCACACTTCTCGAACTCTCGTTCATGCTCATTTAATAGTTGAGGTTAGATTTAACTTGTCATCCAAACCCATTGAATAAATTAAAAGATCAGAGACCAGATTGCACATTGGACCAAAGTTCAGTGACTGTTTGTATCATTATCCCATTCATTAAGGCACACTTCTCGAACTCTCGTTCATGCTCATTCAATAGTTGAGGTTAGATCTAACTTCTTGTCCAAAACCACTTACGACCAAAAAGTTATGTGTATAGCGTTGTTTTCATTGCGCTACGCTCATAACTTGTGCTCTTTCTATGGTTCAATTGAATATAAAAAATATATAATTTCGGTAACATTCGCAAAAAATAAATCAAATAAAAAAATGTGTGGAAGTTCATGTTGTGTTTCATATTTTCTGGACCCTAGCAGTGCGATTGAATCCACATGAATCGAGCGCTCTCGCATCCTAACTATTGATTACATCAACACGACAATGCTCGACCAAAAGATAATCTAATTAATAGCAAATGACTTGTAATCTAAACGAACGGTTGTCCGCTGCGTCCATTGGCCATCGTTTTTATTTTTATTTTTATTTGTCGTTCCTCTCGTTCCTATGCTGCGGTTCTCTCACTTGGAAAAGGGGGTCTTGACAAGTTCGAAATTTTCAATAACTCTTTTTATGAGAACATCATTAAATTGGTAAAATAATAAGTGCATTGAAAGTCCTAAAACCTGTTATGAAATTACAATGAAGTTCTAAAACTTTCGAAAAGTGCAATCAAATATTATAATTTGTCACGAAAGTGTAATGGAGTCATAAAACTTTCAAAAAGTGAATAAATATTCTAAATTTGTCAAATTAGTGTAGTTGAGTTCTAAAACTTGTTAGCATTTTTCGTTTGTCAAATTGGACGTAGTTAATGGAAGGAGTTAAAGTTTTAAGACTACTTTCATGATAAGTTTTAAAACTTCTAGTACTCTTATCCCATTAATCAATTAAGGCTTTGAGAGGGCATGCTTGGGTAAATACGGTCTTACCCGTGTTTGTGCATATTTTCACTTTCATTTACGTAAGTATTGGGTGTATATTTCTTGCCGTCAATGTAATTACAGGCTTATATGAATTAAGCCTGTGATTGTCAGAATCATTCCTCCTCTCTTGCGTGCCGCATTAAGACTCCAACCCTATCCACAAATCTTGCTATTCATTTGATCACGACGACCGATGCTTGTTCAAACTCCAATTAAATCTAATAAACAATGACAAAACTCAAACAACCTTCATCCTCTGCATCCACCGACCTAAGAGATAAACAATTATTTGTCTCCTTAAATACATTTTATTTTTCTTATTGAATTAACAAGTCTACCCCGCGGTCGTTCTCGTGGTCCCCCCATTCATTACCTTTCGGCGATTCTTGGAATTAAAAATAAAAAGCGTTGATCTAATCACATTCTCAATCGGTCAAGAGTCGGGACCAAGATACAGCTTCTCTAGGCAACTTTGGTCGCCCAATGCACGAGCCCACATCGTCGGGACCGTATTTAGACGAGACCCGTAAAGGGATGTATCTTGGTACATAGCGCACACGAACGATGGCAAGTTAGTGAAGATCTTTCCATCGTGATAAGGCCATTCATTCGGAAACTAACACGTGTCTCTTGGGAAAGAACGAGTTTAGAAATCTTGAATCGAGGGACATTTTGTGATTAGATAGCTCTCTAGATACGTTCCAAACATCTAACTCCATGTATTTTCTCGTAAGAGGTGGTGGGGAAAAACCAGAATTGTCAGAGACTGTCGTGGTCGAACGTAGGAGAGGGAAAGAAGGTATTCATGGCAGTTGGCACCAAGGGATTCGCTAGCATTCCCCCATCGCGCCATTAACGATTGTAGCTCTCTTTAACTGACTAAAAACTACTGGTCATTGGCCCTGCCGCCCTGGGACCCGCCGGAGCACATTCCTCTGTCCGTGGTTTTCGTGGGCAGCTTCGCTTAATTTGCCCAATTCAGACAATACAGCGACCGGTCTGCCGAGAAGTCCCACAGAAAGCTCACGCGTGTCAGAAAATGGAAAAGAAATCCGGCTAAGATTTTTGTCCAGTCGCTGTCACTCCTTTTACAGAAAGACCGCGTTTTGGACCGACCCTTTGACTCGCGTACGTGTATCTGGTGGTATCTCAATTCTCTCTCCGAACTGAGTGGCATGCGACTGTGATGTGTTAAGGCCCCCCACCATCGAAACAGTCGGAAAGGCATTTTGATCTCCGTTGAAGAATCGTGGGTTCAGTTCAATTTGGGTGCTGGGTACTCCGTTTCTCTTGCTGGAGTGGTGAAATTTGTGTGTTTCTGTGGGAGCTTGTGCTTCTTGTTTTGCATTTGAAGGCTTTGTTTTTGGTGGTTGGGTTTGATTTGGGAAAATGGAGGAGAGGTACGAGCCATTGAAGCAGTTGGGTTCTGGGAATTTTGGGGTGGCTAGGTTGGTGAGAGATAAGAAGACTAAGGAGCTTGTTGCTGTCAAATACATCGAAAGAGGAACGAAGGTAATTCTTTGCTTTGATTTTTCGGTCGATTTTTCTTTAATCCCAGTTTGCTCAGGACTAAAGATGCACTGAGAACAGTATCAATTTGTTTAACTGATCTTTATAGTAGTAGAAGGTCAGGATATCAATTTAAAGCGTGAATGTGTTAATTTTATAAGCACCTCGTTTTTCTCAGACCATGGTTGTCCATCCATATACTGATGTTCGGAGAAGATGGCGTAACATCAACGGACTTTCGGTTGATATGATTAAAACCGCAACAGAAGCTTTATTTGCTGTGTTGTGTAGCCTCTGAATTGCTTCAGTAATGCAAGCCACTGCATCTGATGTTTTTATACATCCTAGCGGTGTCATTATGGTTAGGTCTTTTGATATCCTTAGCTAGTAATATCTCTTGATGGATTTGATGCTTTAGAATTTAACATAGGAGGGATAGTACCTTCTATCTATTGGATAAAAGGTGGGAAAGCTAGCTTATGAGCTGTGAACAGGGTACCTTTCAACTGTTTTGATATTTTTTCAGAGACTTTTGGCCACTTTTTCCACAGAGAGGGAGCTGCATTTGGAATCCGTTCATCCTCAAGTTTCCTTTCATGTCTTATTAGCTTCGTGCTTTGATATGGTTTTAGCCTCGTCATTGTGTGGGGATAGTTACAGTGTCATTCTTGTCGTTGTGCATGCGTATTGCCTCATTCTGATGCTGTGCATTCTTCTTTCAGATTGATGAGAATGTTCAGAGGGAAATCATTAACCACAGATCGCTGAGGCACCCAAATATTGTTAGGTTCAAGGAGGTATGGCACTAGTTTCATGTCTTTCACCATATGATGGACAGATTGATGAAGATTTAGTCGAACTTAAAATTGTAAAAGCAAGTCAAGCTAGTCTCCACTGAATCTATAGTTTGTAAATCTATTTGTTTCGGTTAGCTGTTTCAAATAGTTGAATTGGAGAAGCTTAGGCAGTCGTATATCATGCTTGTTATGTGGTCCTGCATTAGCTTTATTGAAGTTTCTAAATACAAATTGTCTTTGTTCGTCTAACATACTGAGCAATCAACTCAACATTGACATAAACCTATGCTATAGTTTTAGTGGAACTTGAATAGCACATTAGATGCAAACTGCATTGTGCATTGTAAAAACTTAGTCCCATAGTTTCCCACCTTAAGGTTTTATGAGGTCTTTAGAATTGCAAAACTCATCGCATTGTGTGGTCGGTGAAACATTACCACCTTCCATAGGATAAGAAATTTAACGTGACATAGTGAATTTTGCGCTGCCCCCGTTGAGCTGTGTAAAGCGGGTACACCTCCTAACTCTTGCGGCTGCACTGCAGGTTCTGTTGACCCCAACACACCTCGCAATAGTCATGGAATATGCAGCTGGAGGTGAGCTTTTCGAGAGAATATGCAGTGCCGGTCGGTTTAGTGAAGATGAGGTTTGTGTTTTGTGCTTTCTATAGAATTATATCGACGTTCATCTCCTCGCATCATATTGCTGTTGGAATGGGCTAGACTTTTGGGTTATTTGTCTTTCATTTCCTAAATCGACATCCCTTTGCAACAGGCTAGGTTTTTCTTTCAGCAACTTATATCAGGAGTCAGCTACTGCCACTCTATGGTGAGATTTTGGATTGATATATATATTACATCTTAATTGGCAACGAATTTCCTCCTCATATCATCCTCCTTTCTTGTTGCAGGAAATTTGTCACAGAGATCTGAAGCTGGAAAATACTCTTCTGGATGGAAGTCCGACTCCGCGTCTTAAAATATGCGACTTTGGTTACTCCAAGGTCAGTGATATTCCAGTGGACACAAGGATTAGGCTTGAGATTTCATCAGTCGATTTTATTTCTCATCTTATTAGCATCTATTGTCAAGTTCAGCTTCAAATGTTCATTCAGCTTGATTTTGTAATTGCAGTCAGCTTTGTTACATTCACAACCGAAGTCAACAGTTGGAACACCTGCCTATATTGCTCCAGAGGTGCTGTCTCGGAAGGAGTATGATGGAAAGGTATTTGTCTCTACAATAGCTTATTTACAATGCTCCCAACATGATCATTGACTCTTCTTTATCTCTCCGAAGCTAATGCTGGACATTCTGCTCTTACTTGGGCACAGATCCTAGCTTACTCATGGAAGTAGATTTCCTTCACATTTTACGTGCTTGTTTTACGAATTTGTAATGAATAATCTTTATTCTTGGCTTGCAGATTGCAGATGTATGGTCATGTGGTGTAACACTGTATGTGATGTTAGTTGGAGGATACCCGTTTGAGGACCCTAACGATCCTAGAAATTTCCGCAAGACCATTGGGGTAAGTTTGCCTGTGTAACGAGACAAAAAAAAACAAAAAGGGATTTGAACATGAGAAAAATGGGTTTTCTTCATCCTCTTTTCCGCATGTATAGATTCTTCCTTTTGTGCATCATATTCTTTGGGATGAGAACTTAAGTTCTTGTTTGTGACAGAGGATTATGAGTGTTCAATACTCGATACCAGACTACATTCGTGTGTCTACAGATTGCAGGCATATCCTTTCTCGTATATTTGTTGCAAATCCTGCAAAGGTAATCCTGTGCTTCTGTATTACCATTTTCTCTATGAATTGGCAACATAAACTTCTTAGCATATCACCTGCCATTTGAATCTCAGTCTCGTCCTTATAAATTGGGATTTCTCTCTATAAAAATGCTGAAATCATGTTGATACTTCTGGCAACACGAATGAAGTTAGGAAATTTCTGAATCATGACGGTAGTATGCATAGAGTAACTTTTAATGTAGTGTCCATGACCAAATGAAACTTGACTGAAATGAAATATCCATGTGGAGGATCAACAACCTTCTATGCTGTTATGAAAGTAAAGCCTTCATTTTTTGTTTCTGTGTTTTTCATCCAAAAGAGGATCACTATCCCAGAGATAAAGAAGCACCCGTGGTTTCTGAAGAATTTGCCAAAAGAACTCATCAAAGGTGAGAAAACCAACTATGAGACCGAACGGGACCAGCCTCTTCAGAGCGTCGAAGAAGTGATGCGGATTGTTCAAGAGGCCAGGACTCCTGCGGAGGGATCTAAAGTTGGTCAAGGTGTGGCCGGTCCTTCGGACCCTGATGAAGATGCTGATTTGGATTCTGAAGTCGATAATAGCGGTGACTTCGTAGCTGCAATATGATACAGAGCTCTACCAAAAAACAGTTCTACTGGGATAAATTCCTCCAGGGTCTTGGAAGGCATTTCTATTGTTTGGTACAGATTGTACAGTCATAATGCTGGCTATATTATGAATCATGTTCTGTGGCTTGCTACATACTTTAATCTGTAGCGCGTGGGAAGCTCACATTCGGTGGCTGATCATTGTTTAGGATTGAGTGCACTGAAAAATGAAGTGGTGTTTTCATTGACTTGATTTGCTGGTTCAACTATCTACATGTGCATGTTGGATCTCTGTGGGCAACCATCTCACTACACCCACAACAATCTACGGCTTTTCCATTCCCATTTAAATAATTGAGGAGAATGAACCAAGAAAGAGTCGTACATAATTGAGTCATAGGCAATTGAAAGCCAATGATCTGGATGCTTGAGAAGCGATAGTTGACAGAGATGGTGGAGTTTGCAAGGCAATTTCATAGTCTACCCAGTCAAGAATAAAGGACAAAAGCAGAAGACTTGGGATGTACTGTCGGTATTTAGATCTTGGATTAATACCACGAAAAATCCTATAATAATATATTTGTGATAAATTTACTCTAAACTAATTTTTTTATCATTAAAAACTTAAGGCTGCACATGGCAACCATTCTGTGCCCAGAATCTGATTCTGGGCAGAAATGATTCTTTTTTATTCTGTGCCCGGAAACAATTTCTAAGCATTTGAAGGCGTTTGGTAACTGCCCAAAATTTTTGTTCTTAGAATAGAAAAAAAACAGAAATGTGTTTGGTAACTACACAAAATTTCTTTTTATTAATAATATTTTGAATTTTTTAATATTTATTTTGTTTTCTCTTTTTTTTTTTCTTTCTTTCCCCTTCCTTTCTTGGCCATGGTCGACTGCCGGCGCCAGGGACCGACCACAGGCCAGGGTCAGCGAGGGCGTCTCAGCCCTCGCCGGTGGCGACGGCGAGGTCGGCCTCACCAGATATGGGCGAGGTCAAGCCTTGCACAGCCAAGGCGAGGCCGACCTCGCCGTCGCCACCCAGGTCCGTCGCCTAGGTGGCGACGGCGAGGCCGGCCTTGCCTTGGCTGGGCGAGGCTCGACCTCGCCGTTGCCAACCCTAGTGACGGCGAGGTCGGCCTCGCCTTGGCTGGGCGAGGCCGCGAGCCGCCCTCGCCGGCCCTGGCCTGTGGCCGATTGCCGGCGGCCAGCGGGTGGCGGGGCCGAAGAACAATAACAACCAAAAAAAAGAAAAAAACCAAGAAGAATCAGTTCTGAAAAAATTGTTCTAGAATCAAGAAGCTACGTTTTTTTTATTCTTGATTTTGTTCCAAAACTGATTCTGGGCACAAAAAATTTAACAAACGGATTTCTGTTCCCAAACTTATTCTGGGAACAAAAGAACAGAATCAATCACTATTTGGCAAGTTGCCAAACAAGCCCTAAAACTGGTACATTTATGAAAAATTTACCAAAAATTAATTTTTTTATCACCAAAAACCCAATTGGTACACCTGTGATAATTTTACCCCCCGTTAGTTTTCATTAAATTTTAACGTCAAATTTCTAAGTTAAATGACATGTGGCAGTTAATTGGTATACCAGTTTGGGATTTTACCCTTCATTTGTCACGGGTATACCAGTTTGTGATTTTTTGTAGTATTAATCTAATTTAATGAAGGGTAAATTTGTCACAAATGTACCAATTTGGGGTTTTTAGTGGTCAAAAAATTATTTGGGGTAAATTTGTCACAGGTGTACCAGTTTGGGTTTTTCGTAGTCAAAAAATTAATTTTGGGTAAATTTATCACCGAATGTACTAAATTTGAGGTTTTTTGTGGTAGTAACCCTTAGATCTTTGACAAAACTCACCACAGATAACACAAAGAGTGTTCATCAATCATTCGCATGTGCTGGGAGAGAGATCTCGCACGTTTCATCTTCACAAGTTGACTGATAATTGCAACTGCATCAGTTCACAGGTCCTATAAATTCTGCATCGCCGTCGCCCATCGGACTTTGAAGCATACACCAAGTGCCTAAAATAGAGAAGCAAGGAATATGAAAGGCCTAAAAAGTGAGAGTGTATGGGCATTGGTGATGGTTCTGGGTTTGGCCCTTGTGGCTCTGAGCGAGGTTAGGGCGGTGCACGGGCCCCGGCTGAGCCCGACCCAGTGTAAAGAGGAGAGGTGGCTCGCCATCAACACGTGCCAACCGATAATGGTCGAGCAGCCCCCATAGCCGGGGTGCTGCGAGCGTGTGAGGCTGAGCCACTACCAGTGCGTGTGCCTGATATTCAACCCCCGTGAGGCCGATGTCATAACCGTGGACAAGGCCATCAAGCTCTTCCAGAGCTGCGGGCGGAGGGTCGCCCACCATTTCAAATGCGGAAGTGAGTTCTCTCTCGCTCTCTCTCCCTTGCACTTTGCGCTCATTGCAAAGATTTGGCCAGAAAAAGTATTGGACATCATTGAGTTTTCCTTATTCTCCTGAATGATTGTAACTGTAATGTGTTTGATATCTCCATTTCAGGTCTATATTTTCCATGAAAGTAATGATCAGACAAGCCTCTCAGGAGGGCCAAGATCCAAGATTCTCTGACTATAAGCTTTGAAGTAATAACGAATTCCTGTTTTAAGTTCAGGATTGTGCTCTATAGAGTATTTTGACTCTCAAGGTTCAGAACTTCAAATATATGCACTTATCAAATAAGACACAAATAAGACATACTATAATTTACTTTTTCAGGAGTGCTATTTCATCAAATCAAATGGTGTGAGACTAGAATGTAAGGCAGTTTTTGCCAAGAGGGAGCACTAATAAAATGAGAAAGTAGGATAGTTTTTTTTTTTTTTGGGTCAAGTAGAAAGCAGGATCAGTCACCAAAAAAAAAAAAAAGAAAACAAGAAGAGGGTAATAAAAGTAAAGAAAAGGTCCCACCGGGATTCGAACCCAGGTCGCTGGATTCAAAGTCCAGAGTGCTAACCACTACACCATGGAACCCCTGCTTTGATGGTATATCCCAAATTAATAATTTTATATTCTATAGCTGTCTTTTTTTTCTTTTTTTTTTATAACCGAGGATCCGCCACCATTCCCCGGGGACGAGCCCACACAGGTAATCGGAGCGCCTATACCTCGGGGGAGACTAGCCCAGCAACCTACCGCCAGGGCCCCTCACTTAAATTAAGAAACCGAGCGGGGAGGGAAGGAAAGCGCCCACCAACTCGGCCATGCGCAGGTGGGTATATTCTATAGCTGTCTTTGTTTTTATGAAAATGAACAATGCTTCAGAACAACTTTTTTTTTCCTAAATAATTAAACAGAAATAAGCGAGACAAAGGATAGAGGGTTCGAGGTCGTTTCCAAAACTTTGTAGTGTAAATACGCGGGTGGGTCGACGTTTTCCTTAAGCAATGACCTCAGCAAACACTTGAAAAAAAATCCATCGTCTCCTTCCAAGGAGTCCCGGATCATCAACCGGATAGTTTTTGTCCGGAGAAACTCACGAGAAATGAAGAATCTCTCCAAGCACAATGGAAGAACTTTCATTTGCATAAAATGAAAAGATGAAGTATTTATGAGTGCCCACGCTTACACCAAAGGGATCCGTGGCGCAATGGTAGCGCGTCTGACTCCAGATCAGAAGGTTGCGTGTTCGATTCACGTCGGGTTCAAACCCCCCGAAACTGTTGGCTACCCCTCCCAACGGATCATCTCTTTTTCTTCTTTTTATCTGTTCTTCCTTCTTTCTTTTTATCCTTTTCTTCTCAACTACTTCACGATGACGAGATCCAGTTTCCCAAAGCTGCAATTCATTCGGATCCTGCCTTGATCTGTCGACCTTAGGGACTTGTCCTTCTTGGGTTGGTCGAGAAATGGCGCAGAAGCATGCATTTAGCTTCATTTTTGGATCTTCCTTAGATTGCTTCAAAAAGCCACAAGTCGTTTGTTTGGTTGGGAGAGGCTTGTTGTATTTCTTCTGTTGTGTGTGTGGCCTCAACAGTTTTATCTTGACCTTCTCCAAACGCGGAATTGCTTTCTGCGGCTTTTGCTGACATATATCGTTAAATAAGTTCCTCCAGCCTTGTGTTGATTCGAGACGGCGCTTGCACACCTCGGACGTTCACATCTTTATCTTTTACAGCAGAAAAAGGCAAGTCGCTCTGTTCAGTTAACTGGAAACTGCTCGTGCAGCACTCATCATGCGATGCATATAGAACAAATTGGATAATATTTTCTTGTTACCTAAGTTAGAGTTCATTGATAGTACAACGATGATTTGGTTAGAGTAAAGAGTTCTTGCTCTCTCTTTCTACTTTCCGTACCGACTAACCACGGCACTCGAACCACAGGCTTGACTAACTGCACCTTCTCTCTTTTATATCTCTCTGACCTGTGGCTTACTGGCACCCGGAGCTACCGTCCAACCAAGGTGGAGGCGATATGGGGAAAGCTAACTTTTTCTCTTTTACTACATTTGGCAAGCGCAATCGAATCGATATTTGGGAGCACATTAGAAATGAAAGTCTATCAGCATCTGCCCTTTCTCACCCTTTCATGTAGTCGACGGGATGAATGAATCCGCTTTCTGCTGACTGAAGGCATCAGCCTCAATTGACAGAACGAGAGCACTTTGGCTTGGAGGGGTTCCTTTTTTACTTTAGTCGAAAGGGCATTTTGAGTGGGGGTTCAACCATCAGTACTCGATCGACCTTGTCGGGCAGGATTTGACCCACCACTAAATACGTAATAATCATTAGAAAGTTCATCTAGTTACCCCCCCTTCCTGTCATTTTCTTGTAACTGAGTGGATCGAATCTGAGGCTGACCACTGTTTGAACTTGAACAGGACTAGCCTGCAATTGGATATCTAGTTGAGAGAAGAGAAGGACCAACCTTCACTGTCCTCGTCGGTCTGCTAAAAGTCACAATAGGACCAAAGCTACACAGCAGATTCTCAAATTAAGTTCTTAGAATCAAGGGACTTTGAAAGAATTATTTCCTTGTGACTTGATGTCGAAAACAAGTTGCATCGAGTATCAATTTTATAAAAATCTTGGGCTCATACGGCGTGAACTTTGTAGAGTCTTGCTAACTCGGTTTCCCCATTACGGGGCCGAATTGGAATAACTTCATGGTTGTGATGCAAGAATGGTAGAGTGTCCTAGTGTTTGGTTATATGTGCTCAAACCATCAATTGTGGAACGCTTTCATGTGATCTACATAAGAGTAATTTATCAAGAAAGCAAAAAAGGAGGTTAAATGTGCCTTTGCTATTACAACTATAGGAATGATTCTATTATTCTGTTTCTTTTGGTAGAATTCTAAATACAGTTAGTAAGTCCAAAATTATTGGTAAAAAAAATTCACTCATCTGCTCGTTAACTTGTTGATAACTTAATGACTTTTATATAGAGTTTTTATAAATCATCATCTCATCTTAACAGTTTGCAAATTACCAACTTTTCTTACATTTACCAATTTTTATTTGCCTTTCTTAGCAACGCATTAAATTTACCGATTTTTATATGAATTTAGTGATCTTTATCTAAGTGACTTGCCAACTTTTTATATTTTATGTACTAACTAGTTTTTGGGTTACCAACTCTCATTTAAATAACTTACCAACATTTTTTTATCCTTGTGATTAATCAACTTTGATTTTTCTATAGACCAACTTTTTTATAACTTTCTTAAAGCACCTTAAACTTATCAACCATCGTATAAATTTAACAACCTCTATTTGTGTCACTTACCCGGCTAAATTTGGTGATGAATGGTGAGTTAATACTCATTCAAGTTGGTAATCTCTAAATCAATCTGAGCTTGACAGAAGTGCATCAACTTTATTATGGCTATTGTATTTTGATTCATTTCGCTCCACCCATCACGTTGGTATTTTTACAAGGTCCACTTATCTCAAGGATTCTCTGGTTGAAATAACTCTCTCATGCTCCTTTACAACTCAAACCCCTCTTTTCTTTCTTGTCCCCTTTTTTTTTTTTTTGCTAGAATTCTTTCTTGTCCCTGTCCCCTTGACTAATGATAAATTGTCGCATGTAGTTGTCGATATCTGGCTATTTTCCTTAGTGGGAATTCGTCTTTCCTAATGGGAAATCCACGAGATCCACGAGCAAATACCAACAAAACCCAAAAAACTGTAAGACGTTAGTCTCGAGAAGGACCATTTTTGAACAAGAGACCAGCCCAAAAATTTAATCTCAGCCTCGTCATTAGGGTTAAAGCACTTGAACATCTAGCTTATCATTAGCAAGAGCAACTTGTTGTGTAGACGATGAGCTTATTGGGTTCACGATCCCGTCCGTTCCCACCTCCTTCTCCATCTCTTCAGCTTCATAACTCGAGTGAACTCCATACAGCACATAGAACAAGCTGATCACGCACGCCCATATCCCGAACCTCTGGAATGACATCACTTTCAGCGACGTCATTAGGAAGACGCTCAGAAAGATTGAGGCCGAGGCTGGCCATGGCATGAGCGGCACTGACCACTGCAAGTCCCCGCCACCACGGAAGGGGACCATGCGGTGGAATGATGCGGTGGCGACGGCCGCGAGGCAGCTGAACAGGGCTGAGCCCCACCACTTATCGAGCTTCCAGGAGATGGAGAAGCCGAGGGAGGCAGAGGAGAGAAGGATGAGGAAGAGGAGGGTGGGGAGTGGGCGACGGCAGCTGGTGATAACGTGGCGGCGGTAGATGAGGGCGTTGGCCACCAGGTAGAATACCATGAGAGTTCCTAGGGAGATCATATCGAAGACTATCTCTAGTTCGGTGAATAGTGCTATTAATGCTGTACAAATCCCTACATAAGAAAAAAGAGAGGAGATCCATATGCAATTCATTTCAGTATTTACGAGAACAGATAGCAAAGAGATAAGCTCCTTGAACATTCGTCATTAGACTAATAAATAACATAGAGAGTAATCAAATTGGAACCTTTTTAGCAAATGAAAGTGCAAGTTCTTTACGCAATATATAATCATATTACTATTTTGTGACATTACGACAACTGAAAACCACATGAATTTTGTTTTGGCCAACAAAAACATCCAAACCGCAATTTGCTCATCGTCAGATGGTTCCACATTCGTGCCTTCCACGTAGGTTTTCTTTATGGTAAGAAAATGACATAGGAGACAGAAAGAAAGGCATCATTAAAAAAGGATTAGCAAAAAGCCAAGACAAACTCAAAAGAAAGCTCCTAAAATGATCAACAGATATTCCCTACCATATGCATAGTAATGGACGAAAGCCGATCATTACAAAAGAAGGATGGAGATATATGTGCTCAATCACATAGAAGAGGACATCAAGCTTTATGCATCTCATGCACAGTTTAGCAGTATCTGAAATCATCCTTTTTCCATATCAGAAATGACTAGTCAATTTGCTCTCAATGAAGGACAAGTAGATTTTTTCTTGGTAATCCTGTGAATTGCCACCCATCCCCAGCTATTCAAAAGCAACCCAAAGGAGGAAAGAAAGCAAAAGGAATCCCGTGAATGAAAAAATCAGTAGTTCAAGAAAAAGAATATACTAAATCATGGGTTCGTCGAGATTTCATCTAATTTATGAGGACTTCGTATATATCTTCTTTGGATATATACTCAAACATGTATTAGACTTCTAGATGATTATCTCTATTCATAAAGAAGGGGACATCTTTTGTTGAAGAAAAAAGGCAGCAAAAAGGAAAGGCTCACTCACCCAAGAAAAGTGTGGCGTTCAATGGAGTGCCAGTGGAAGGGTGAACCTTGGCCAGCCATGAAGGCACCAGATGGGACCTCGCGATGACACAAAGATAGCGAGCTTGGCCAAGCATGGCCACCACCAGCGACGCCACAATCCCCAAGCTCGCGCCTGCCCCCACTAGATTGCTCGCCCATCCCCACCCTATCTTCTCGAAGACGACTGAAAACGATGCATCGTTTGATATCTACACATATCAATGTCAATCAATCATCGTCAACCGATGTTGAGAAAAAAGAGAGGTCCAATATGATGATTAAGTATATGAAAAGGGGGTTCTCCAAACTAGGGCTCATTGGTTATCGACCATGCTTTTCCTAGTTGCTTTTCATTTCAATCGAGACCACCATTAGTGTAAATGTTGATTCTAACTGATTGTGTGTCGGCAATTTGTGCTCTCGTTGTCTAAGCAAAAGTTCCGATGACATTGTAAGTGTATGCATGCGGATTTAAGGATTGTTATGTCGTGTTTCAAAAATTAGATATTTAGGTGTTGTATATATCACGTTAACCTCATCTTATGAAAACCAAATTTTTTGTGTAAAAGTTTTACATGATAATTCTTTGTACTTAACATTGCTTTTGCAGTCTTAGTTCCTACACCTTGAAATGTTTCTTCTACCCAGTTAATATAAAATAATAACAGAGTGATTTGAGTGACTTTATACCCTTTGAAATTTTCACATAAAATGGTTTCTTCAAAAACCCTAGTCGAATTCAGACATATGGGATACTTAAGATGTGAAAAGTACATATACTAGAGGGGCTAATTTGCAAAGAATACCCGAATTCGAGGAGTGTTTAGGCAGCTTTATCCCTTCCTTCACTAATGCTATATGTAAAATCCAAAGACCATCCAATTTTTGGATTGATTGATCTCTTTTTAGTAGACTGACCTCATTGTATGGAACCATGATGCACAAGGACAATGCCATGAGGCAATAGAGCAAAGACACAATGAGCATGGAGCCAACAATCCCGACGGGGAGGCTCTTGGAAGGGTTTTGGATCTCCTCAGCCATGGTTGAGACTGAGTCATACCCAATATAGCTGAAATACACTTTGGCTGCTCCCTTGAGCACACCCTTTACCCCAAATGGTGCTAATCCTCCTGGCCTCACCAAGTTCTTGCCACTCCCTTTGTAGAACCCCGCAATTATGATGAACCCAAAGAAGACTACATGGAAGACTGTCATTATAAGGTTCAAGATTGAGCTCTGCTTGGTACTGCAAATTAAATCATGTCCAAACAAAAGATACATGTATCAATCACTATGGCTAAATGGGTCCAATAATAGTTAATAAAAAATGCATCCAATAATGAGCAATGAAGCTGCTTTGTACCATATGACAATAAAGAAAAGAACAAACACTATCAGATGTTTACACTTGGTGACAACTTTAAAATATTTTCCATCTGTCACACATAGATCCCATTAAAGTGGTCACTCCCAACTCCAACAAGAAAACCCATAAAGATCTCACACACCAATGTCTTCAGAAACAAGAAAAAGCTCAATTCCACACTTATCAATGTTGCCAGAAGATCAAGAAGACTTCTAGTTATAAAGATCTTCTGTACTTAGCATGGATTTTAATAGAAAAAGAAACAAGAAGAACCTTGAAATTAAGAAAAAGGGAGGGAGAGAGAGAGAGAGAGAGAGAGAGAGAGAGAGAGAGAGAGAGAGAGAGAGAGAGAGAGAGAGAGAGAGAGAGAGATCCAACCTATGGCAAAGACAAAGGGTCAGAAGAAGCACAAGAGCAACTGCTGGAAAATCCAGCATGTTGTATCCCTTCATTAGTCCTTCCACTTCAATCCTCCAACAGGTTGGATCATTTTCTCCCAACGTGCGACACAGATAGTCTGTGAAGCTTCTCGCAACCGCAGCATTCGACAACACATACTCCATTAATATATTTGCCCCGGCAAAATAACCCACAAACTCACCTAGGAAGATTTAAATCCACAAAGATAAATCGAAGTGAGAAACGATGCGAGATTTTCTATTGTATTCATAAGCAATAGAGGTTTTCATAGGCTTTGCTAAAGAAGAATCTTGGTTTCCGAAACACCTGTAACACGATGTTCGTCCGTGCACAGTTTGTGAAAACCGAACTTTTCACTAGCGTGTAGAGATTCAACGAAAAATCATGACATATATAGGAAATAATGTACCGAAGGTCACTCTCAGATAGCTGAAGGCGCCGCCGGCAACCGGAATCTGGACCGAGAACTCAGTGTAACACAAGGAAGAAAGGAGTGCTGATACCCCAGCTATAATATACGATATGAAAACCGAAGGTCCAGCTATGGAGTGAGCCACCGGACCGGTAGTGACAAACACACCAACACCAAGCATTCCTCCAACTCCAAGAGCTATTAAGTCATACCATTGGAGCTTCCTCTTCATGTCGGCACCAGAACGTAGCCTCACTTGGTTGAGCTCCTGGTCTGGTGTCCATGTTGCTAGCATTCTCTTTCTTAGCCTGTGAGGTGTTTGTGAGAGAGAGTGAAGGTAGTGAGTGAAGGAGGACGAGGTGTTTTTGGTGGGTGAAGTTTGAGAGGTGTTCATTTTAGGGGGGAGATGTTTTAAGTGAGAGAGGCTCTTTGGCTTCCATGAGGGCTCGAGGTGAACGTCCTTAAATATGCATTTTGGGAAGAGAATGGAGTGAGGATATCATTTAATTTGACATATATTCTCCCCACTTATTGTTATAAAAAGTCATGTTCTCAGCATTGATAGGTTCATTTACACACCATGACGACGTGGTAAATTCAAATAAAAAGTATACTCTCTTCGTCATTTCATATCTAAACGGATGGCGGCAGATATAGAAATACAAATTAGAGAGCGATATGAAAAAAAATTTCGTAATTTTTTGTGTCAAAAGAGGGAAATTTTTTTATGGAATTTAATAATATGTAAAACATACTCATAATAAATTGTATCTGACCGCAACAAGATATTGAGATGGTGATAGTCTTTCCAATCCATTTTTCTATTATTAATGTGGATATCTCATATGTATTGAACTCATATGTATCGACTTATGTAATAACTTATATGAGCAAAGAAACTTTAGACGATATATATTTTTGTCCCACTTGGATTAATTAACGAAAGTGCGAAATCGTAGGTAGTCCACAGAGGATGAGCGAGATGTTCAAAATGCCCTTGGCCCTTTCTTTCCTCTTGCAATCTGCTTTTGAGAGCCCCGAGACTCCCAAAAGAAATCTCTCCCGTGGAAGCATGCAAATTGGAAAAGGTGCAGCCATTTTGAAATAAAAACCCGTAAGAGGAATCACAAATCAAGGAAGAAGGGGGGCTTTGACCCAGTCTTTGGAATTTCCTAATATGAAAGTTTGAAAAGATGTGACAAGCATCTAACACCTTTGTTAAAGCAACTTGGGTCACAAGAATAGTGGGACTTGATTCCTGATGATAGTACATATATTGTCTATTTCATCACAAAAAAGACAGTTTCAATCGTATCAAGACATCATTTGAGAGTAAGATATGATTTGTAGTTGTATGGAAACCAATGAAAAGGAAACAAAAAAACTAGAATGGAATTTTGTGGTTGAGCCGCATCATCATAAAGCTCCATTTCCTCCCACTTCCCTTCACATTATTTAGAAACCATTATTTGTTACATTAATTATATGAAAAGGCTTAATTATTCCACATTGATGTTCCTAAAATTAATTTAAATATATAGAAAAGGTTTGACACTACAGATCAAGAAAAGACCGAGACAACAACACTTAGAGACTTTTGCAGCATGGTAAATGACTAGAATATGCATAATTTGGCTATCTTTAGAACTCGAAATGAACATAAAATGGATAAACAAACTTTTATTTGCTCTTTAGAAGTTTTAAGAACTTCCTCTTGGCTAGACTAAGGAACCATACAAAATGAATGTGTTGAGCTACTAGCTACACACTCAAAGGTTAGATTAAGCATGAAGATTCCACTGAGTTTATAGCAGAAGTATTGATTTGGGCAACGAAATTTCTAGCATGATCTCCAAAGATCTCCTCAACTCGGTTGGAAAATGAGTTAGGAGGATCAATGTCGTCAAGACATCGAATGAAGGTCATAGAAGATAAAAAAAGTTCTTCATATACTCTTTGTATTTTTTTTTCCTATACATCGTTTTGCTTTCAAATGATAAGTCAAGCTTGTACTATCCACATGAGACTACGAGGTGGTACTATCTTGTGTAGACATGAATTCAAGAAAATCATAATAAAAAAGAAGAGTTTTGATTTAAGGATATCCTTAGAATGCTCCTAGTAAATCTCGAAAATATATCCCATTGAAAAGGTCTACACTTTTTTTTGCTTCCTTTATTCCTAGAAACCTAGCTTACGGCTTTTTGCTAAAATCTAGTAGTATAAAGAGCTAATTAAGAAATAGTATTACTGGGAATAATGTCGATTCTATAAGGCTGGTGGTGATCTTTTCTTTAATTCATGAATAGATTCTTTGCCCAAGGAGGCCGGTGTTCCTGATGATCTTCTGATCAAGCAATTTTGCTACTTATAAAATATACGGGAAAATTACCAAAAAAATCCTAACTTTATTGCATTTGTGCCAATTTAATCCTAAATCTTTTAATTGTGCCAATTGAGCCCTAAATTTTTTCATATTTTTTCAATTAAGTCCATCCAACCAATTTTGGCCAAATATCGCTGATGTAGACATTGATTGTCCTATGTGATCCGGCCGGTGCTATCGTAGACATTCTTAATAATATTTTAATATTTTTTGAATTTTTAAATATTTTTTTTTGTTTTTATTTATTTACTCTCTTTTTTTCCCTGAACTTAGCACGCAGTCAAACACGTCCTACTCTTCCACATAGAACAGCTCCTTGTTGGAGAAATCATACGACAGGCCTGCGAGAGCCACGAGACACCAAAAGGTTAAGAAACCCTCGCAACTGTAAAAGCACATAGCACCAGCACCACAGCGGCTTTTAGTTGGACAATTTTCGAAAACTCATCGTCGATTGCGGTGTGCAAGTTAAAGTGAACCTTGACGAATTCTTCAAGTTCGGAGGAGCGAAGCGGTGTCGACTGGGTTTTGTGCATAGAGCTGATAGTCTTCGGGTTCCTCTTCGAGAGGCTGTAGATTCGGAGGGAAGACGAAGTGAGGAACCATTGTCATGCGTCAGAGGAGAATAGAGAGAGTGTTTCTCTTCCTCATCGATGCTGTTATTGAGATTTGCTTACCGATCATACATGTCAAAACTTGCAACTTTCAAAATGCGGGGTTTTTCAGATTTGGCCAGGCGAGAGCATCGTGGCCCTCGCCGGCCTTGGGCGATGGCGTCCTGGCCCTCGCCGGCCCTAAGTCCAAAGAAAAAAAGAAAAAGTACAGAAAAGAAAATAAAAAATTATTAAAAAATTCAATAAAATATTAAAAATATTATTTAAAATGTCTACATCAGCGCTGGGCATGCCACATGGGATAGCGAACATCCAATTTTCCGATCAAAATTGGCCGGATGAACTCAATTCACAAAACGTGAAAATGTTTAGGACTCAACTGGCACAATTGATAGGTTTATAAATGAATTAGCACAAATGAAATAGGTTTACGACTTTTTTGGTAATTTTCCCTAAAATACATAGATATATTATTCTTTCTTTTATTCTGTAAATAAATGGAATATTTTCTGTAGGACAGTCGATCGTTGCTCGTGGCATCTATTGACGAGAGCTTGCAATTTTGCTGGTCATTAACCATGTTTGGAGGGTTCTTGATTCGTAATTTAAAGAAGGTGGACGCATACTAAAGAATGGTAGAGCTCAATCGATTAGAAAAGATCAATTCATCCATTATGAACAAAGCATACACATCTCTATATCGCGTGAGATGGGCCTACCTTATTAAAGGGAATTAGTGACCATATTGCAAAAAAGAAAACAACAATAATAGAAGAACTATAGCTTATGTTATCTGTGCATTGAACCTAGGACAGTTCATGCAGTGGGTTATAAGGTTCACCTCTGGTACGAAAAGTTCGTGATTCTCTTGTTATTTTAGTTTCCTAGATTAGTAAAGCAGACCGTGTGTGCATAGATAATTCTATCCAGAATCATATCGAAAGCTGGCATGATGCTCACTCGAGTAATTAATTCTTCAGCATCCAGAAATTTATATGCAATCACATGTGGATCGTCTTCTCAGGTGTCAAAGTCATAAAGATTTGGCTTGTGATCTCCTACTAGAATGTACCCTTTTTCAGTCTAGTGAAACCCATAGCCCCTTAGGGTATATACTTCAAGTAGTTTCCCTTTATCTGTGGACGGGTAAGCATAAAGCAAAATTCACTCTCCCACTATCCCCTTTAGGGTTTGCTTTGAGTCGAGGTCCTCAGTTACTTTACTGTCCCACTATGTCTCGACTTCAAGCAGCGTGATTAACAATTAGAGCTGGATTTGAGTAAGGTTTATATTGGCTGAAGCTTTTGAGAGGAACATCATCAAATAGATATGTTTGTACGACATGTTATGTGCACCGTATAAAAGATAAAGTTTCTAGTATACCTTTGATTTGTTTTCACTATTAACGGCGATAATATGAGTCCTGTACTGCGCTTGGTATCTCGTCACGTGTTATTATTTATAAAAGTATCCCATATGATCTGACTTGACTCGATACTCTTAATTGGCTATAAAGAAGTATTCTCGCTAGCGCGAAAGATTTCAAGTTGATTGCAATTTGTGTGTAACGATCGGGTTACAAATCTATAGGGCCACCATTTCTCGGGGAAAGTTACCAAAAAGGTTATCAATCTATTGAAAGTGTACTAATTCGGTCTTAAACTTTATTTTTAAGCCAATTAAGTCATAAACCTTTTACATTTGTGTCAATTGAGTCCATCTAGCTAATCTTAGCCAGAAATCGCCGATATAGATACCAACTATCCTATGTGGTGCAGCGAGCGTTAACGTGGACATTGTTTAATAATATTTAATATTTTTTCAATTCTTTTTTTTTCTTCCCTTTTTCCTTTGGCCAGCAAGGTTGAACCTCACCCAACCGTGGCGAGGCTCACCCTTGCCGCCGTGGGCGAGGACAAGCCTTGCCATGGCCTGGCAAGGTTGAGCCTTGTCAAGGGTGGGCAAAGCTCACCCTCGCTAGTGGCCGGCAAGGTGACCTCGCTAGCCCTTGCCTTTGGCCGGTCATCGAGAGGAAGAAGGGAAGAAAAAAAAAAAGAAAGAAAAGAAAAATAGAAAAAATAAAATAAAATAAAAATAGAAAAATATTGAAATATTATTAAAATTGTCCTCATCATCGCTAGTTGCGCCACATAGGACAGATGGTGTCCATGTTGGTGTTTTCCAGCCAAAATTGGCCAAATTGACTGTATTGACACAAATGCAAAATGTGTAAAACTCAATTGGCAATAAGGTTTAAAATTGCACAATTGCAATAGGTTTAACACTTTTTTGGTAATTTGCCTCCGACTCCTTCATACGGACGGATTTAATTCACACATTTCTTTTTCTTTTCAACCGGATGAGAAGGAAGTCACTGAATTTGAATCGACAATCATAACCTAAGGAGGAGGGCT